GTACAGCCAAAAGAGCTTTGGCTGTACTCCTTTAATCAAAGTCACACTTCATAAAAAAAAAAAAAAAAAAAAATCAAGGAGTTGAAAAGTAAAAAGGGAAGCAGTGCAAGAATCTAAAAACAAACATTCATTCTCACCTAGATGGCTGCAGCATTGATTCAATAAAATAAGCGGTTTGCTTAAAAAGTATGAACTGGAGATTAACTTTAATTTGTTGGTCACGTCCATCTAAATCCGCTAGCCCATCTAACACTACCCTCCTGCCAATGCTGCTGTCCAAGAGTGTCTCCATTGGTCCTCCATCCAAAGACAGGAAGTGCTATTTCTGGATGGATCACCAGGTGAAAAAAAAAAACAAAAAAACTAATACAACCACCACATCTAAAGATTGGTGAGCTGCAAAAGGTTACATTTTTGTTTTTGGGTTTAACATCATTTTAAACTGGTCTCTTATATGCAATAAAAATCCACATTCACATACCAAAATGGCTACAGTTCCCTTTGAAAGCTCAGGCTCCGAGCGTACGTTTTAATTAATCACAATCTGGGACATAGAAAGACTATACTAAATATTCTGGTAAACTGCATTACCATGTAAAGGTTACTTCTGCCTGTGATTTGTTATAAGTCACAGCTTCATAAATGTTGAATTATTACTTTAAGTTGCAGGCCAAGTGTTCTTGTTCTGTGGTTCACAATTTTATATTCTTGCTCTTCCACATTTTTATGAATATTTTTATGATTGTATTTTATATACAGTTTAGTGCATTCTCCCTCTAGTGGACTATTTCATAAACTCGCATGTACAGCACGGTTTCACAAAAGGAGGATAACTAATAAAAACTTAAAATAAAAAGTTAATGGTTTTTCAGCCAGATGAAACAAAGACCTGTGAAAAAAATCTGACCCTGCAGTAAAATGTGGAGGTCGCATACTTCAGGGTGGATTTTCATCAGCAGGGACTTGAAATTGTGTTACAGATGGAAGAATTCATGAAACAAAATGCAGTACAATACTACAGTTTACTACAAGAACAGATAACATACTACAACTTTGCACTGTCATGTAGTGTGGAAGCAATGGGCAAAAAAATGGCAGGGATTCCTCGTGACCAAATGTCATTTGCCTTAAGCCAGCAACAGACCGATGGAAAATCAGCTGGTTCAGCAGGAACCAGCTGAATTTGATCAGTCTATGGAGCAGGCTGGTTGTACTAATGTCAATCTATTGACCTACATTTGCCTTAAGCTGGCCGTAGACAGATCAAAATTAAGTTGGTTCAGCAGGAACCAGATGAATTTCAAATCAGTCTATAAGCAGGCTGATCTATTGATCGACTTCAGCCTTTCAGGTATTTTGTTTGCCCGATCACTGAAACGGCTAAAGCCGCCAGCAGTGGTCATTGTATTCTGCCCATAGGAAAGGCTCCCTGTGCTCTACACCAAAAGAACACAAGAGCACTGCAGGAGGGATTTCCCCCATCAACACTGACTGTGTTGTTGGGGGAATCCAGCATTTGTCTTTTCCTCAGCCTGTGGTTGAAGGAAAGAAAATTGCATAATGTATAGCCTGCTTTAACACAAAGATATCAGCAATCTCTTCTGATTTTCTTATTGGTCAAATCACATGCTGTTATTTGTCACTAGTCAGTCTCTTTGACATCAGCATATTATAGGGGAGATATTCCAGCATCCAGATCCCATTTTTATTTTCAGGCCACATCACAGGGAGGGGAACAAGCCAGCTACATATTACTAAACCATCTACATATTTCCTAAAGGCATCAAAAAACACAAGAACATCTGAGTGGCCATTTAGCCTCAACCTCCGTATCGTCTCCAAAATACACCCCTTCTTAACCAATGATACCACAATGCTGCTATTTCACTTCCTGGTTAGCTTTCACCTTGACTTTTGTAACTCCCTCCTCATTGAATTACCTTTACATAGGCTATTCCCACTTCAGTCCATCATGAATGCTGCTCCCACTAATCCACCTTACCAATTGTTCAGTTATCTGCTGCCCATCTCTGCCAGTCCCTCCACTGGCTTCCAATAAATACAATTCAAAATACCAACAACCACCTACAAAGCCACCCACAACTCTGCTTCTAGCTTCATCACCAACCTTGTCTCAAAATACCAACTGAATTATTCTCTTCGCTCCTCCCAAGCCCACCTGGCTTTCTAACTTCATTGTCACCTCCACCCATGCTCGCTTCCAGGACTTCTCCAGAGTCTCTCCCATCCTCTAGAACTCCTTACCCCAACCTGTCCAACTATCTCCTACTTTAGCCATCTTTAAGTAATCCCTAAAATTTCATCTTGTGTGTCCCCATATCTGTCGGGGGGGGGGGGGGCGGCTGCAGCTATGGGAACAAGTTACATGTTCCACCCTGAAAACATAACGAAGTCCAACTAGACAAGAAAAATTACACACAAAATGTGTGAATCCATAACATACACGCTAACTTATCAGTGGCCTTCTAATTATATAGATTCATATTCCCATGTGTAAAAAAGGGTTTCATTGTTTTGATCCTAGATGGGCCCACCGATTAAATAATCTCTCTTTCTATAGATTTGTACAGATGAACAAAAAGTCTGAAACAATTATTTACAAGTGGTAATAAACAATGCATTATTTATAAATTAGAGTGTAGATGGTTTTACTTATCCAGATTTAACTGTACATCGGGATAGACATGGGCATAAAGGAATGACTTGCATGCACTAATAAATGCATACTGTATATTACAGAGCTTAGAGGAAAAGTTTTATTGGCTTCTTTTGGCTGGTCTTAATAAGGTGACTAGCCATCTCATATTCTGGGGTATAAACAGGGCTTCTCCTCCAATGTGAAAAAAAAAAAAGATGGCAAAGTGGGAATCATGAGTAAGATGAGTAATCTTTTTGAGAACACAAGACTTGATTCAGTATCAGATGCCTTCTTACGACAACACAGGAAAAAAAAAAAAAAAAAAAGGGTGAATCATGGAGTAAGATGAGTAACCTTTTTGAAAACACACGACATGGTTCACCAAAAGATGCCTTCTTACAAAAAAAAAAAAAAAAAAAAGTACACAGAATTCCATTTCACCAAAAACTTTAGGTATTATAGGTCCGTACTAGTTATACCTACACAAATCTACAAGCACCTTTCACCAGAAATAGGTTCTAAAAGGTGGGACAGATGCATGGCGGGGGGTGACTACACCCACTTCCTCAGTCTTCTCTACGTTGCCCTGAATTCACACTAAATAGAAACACCACAACACACAGCTCCCTTTATTTTTTTTTTTTCGTTTTGTACACTTCATTCACTGCAATGTACAGCAGTGCTATGCGCTATGTTGCTGTACATTGCCGTGCGATTTGGTATGTCTGCATTTTACCGCAGCATGACCATATGCTGCAGTGCAGCCAGTGTGAATGGGACACATAGGAAAAAATTATTTCCTGTGCGTCCCTGCGGTGACAAACGTTTCACATTGCAGTAAAACGTCTGTTGCTGCACAAAGTGTCAGGGCATCTCATATACAAAAACAGTAAATCTGCACCAAGTAATGAAGCTAGAATTACAGCCCTGGATCATGTACCTTCAGACACAAAAGTCAACAGTGCCAGCTCTTAAATGTCTATCCCAACAGTTCTGTTTAAAGTTGTTTTAAGCTATATTTGATAGGGGCTACTCTGTCTAGTAACACGGAAGGGTCCCTACCTTCCAGAGCCCTCTTATAAAGATTAATACTTTATTAAATGGAGTCCAACCACAAATATACAGTGGTTCCCTTAAAGCACTACACTTTATGTGTGGCACTGCAGGAGGTCTTGTACAGACTACACCTGTTAGTCTAATGCAGGCCATAGATGGGGAGAAAAACTGCTGAAAATTAGTCCAAAAAAATAATTGCCTGATTTTCGGATCGTTAGTGGCTGAATTGGTCAGCCGGTTTTCTTGATTTTGGACACTTTTTTTAATCAGTCATGTTGGAAAAAAAAACGGGCCAATTTTCACGGCAATGATGGGCAAATCGGACAATCTTTTTACCCATTAAAAAAAATGCGCATGAGCCGTGACCAAAGAAAAAGAACATCTGTATCTATTTGTATCCATTTCGGATACAGATGTTTCTATTCAGATACAAATAGATACAATGTTTGCAACCGCAATACTTATAAATGTCAAATCTAATAGCAGTGTCCCTGCGGAGAGCTCCGCTATTATATTTGACATTTAAAAGTATAGCGGTTGCAACATTGTATCTATTTGTATCTGAATAGAAACATCTGTATCTGAAATGGATACAAATAGATACAATGTTGCAACTTTGCTATACTTTTAAATGTCAAATATAATAGTAGAGCTCTCTGCAGGGACACCGCTATTATATTTGCCGGCCATAGACGCGACGAAAATCAGCCGATTTTTTTTACCAATGGTGGTAACGTCAGTCGATTGAACGACCGATTTTTTGGGGGTTTTTTTCGGTTCAGCAGGGACCGGCCGAGATTCAAACCATCTATGATCAGGCTGATTATACCCAATTCGATTGTTGTACTCCAGCCTGTCATATTTTTCAAGCAATTATAATAATCACTATGTTCACCTGGCAGGCTCGCCAGGAGAACACAAAAGCTCCGCGGGAGGCATTCCCCCATGACACGGACTGTGTTAATGGGGAATCTAGCTATTTCCTTTCCTGAAATCACGGAACTACGGCCGACTTAAGGGAGAGCCTCCTCTGTCTCAAACAGGGTATTTACAGTTTTCCAGGGTATGCACTTTAAATATTAGTGAACCAATATTCAAATAAGGAGTAAGCTGAAAGGTCCTCTTCACTATGTGAACTGAGACAAAGTGAAAACATAACCTGTTCTTGAATAGTGTCAAATGTAACAGCATTTGTTTATATAATAACACTTGCTTTTTCTTACCAGTGTTTGGGCATTACTATTACAGACACAAAGTAAGCTTTAAGCAACAATAAGGAACTTACTATAAAGATCTGACTCATCCAGAATCTCAGATTTAATAATTTCTTCAATAACATCTTCAAGAGTTACCAATCCCAACACCTCGTAGAACGGATCTCCTTCTCCTTCGCTGTTTACTTTCTGTACAATGGCCAAGTGAGACTTTCCTAGGAGAAAAAGCAAACAGGTAATGTGGGGTTGCAAGGGCTCAGGTAACATCTCAGTATATCTTGCACAAAATATAGAAACCAGAAAAGCTACAATTTCTGGGGAAATTGTGTGAAGTGTTCCTGCCTCCACCAGTAGTCTACAACTGGAGTGGGCAGAGTAACTGGGTGGAGTGGCTTGTCACGCTGATGCCAGCTCACACACCTGGGTTCCTATGGCAACTCACTCTACAGCAAGGGCAGAGAAGAGTGGTAAAAAACAAACTGCTCCAACTTGCTCACTTCACTGGCGGTTGCCTTCTTCAAACAGTTGTAGTTTAAAAAGACCCAGACCTACATTTTGATGCATAGTATGTCTCTGAAATATTAAAAATGAAGGCACAGTCGCAGTTTACAAATTGCCCTTCAAATTTAAGGTGGTTAGAGTTTCAATGAAAGTCAATGGGCGGCGTGAGTTGCAAACAAATGGTCATATTGTGAAAACTATCAGGACTATGGCTTAGCCATGGACATTTTTAGTGGCAGCAGGGATAGCTAAACGTTTTGATATAAGATTTGTGTAGGTGGGCTTGAAAATGAGTGAGTGATGGCAGTTTAGAAATCATGTCCTGATTTTTCAGCTCACACTTTAGTTTTGAACATTCCGCCATTCATTCCTATGGGACCAATTTCACTACAAAAAACGCTGATATTTCGTGAACCATTCGGCGAAACGTTCCACAAAGTAATAGCACACCAATCGGGAACAATCCACATGTTTCGCTATATTACTGTCTATGTAGTGTAAAAACTGTGGGAGGAGTTAGGGTGGTAAATTTGGCTATAATAATAAGAATATATATGTGAGATAACAGTAAGTGGTCTTGCCATGCAAGAACACTTAATAAAAAGCTGGAGCTTAGAAAATGTGGCCTGTTGCCCACAAAATCCAAAGTCCAGGTCATACATCTAGTGTTGGTAAAACACAAGCAGCCACTTGACTGGTTGTCATAAGCAAGAGCCATATTGTGTCACAGCTTAAATTCGAAAATGAGCTTTATTGTGTTCTATGCCACCCAGACAGAATGCACAACAAACCATCTGCTTCTTGAGGATTTGTGGCTTGCCTGGACCACCATATCTGCCTTATGTGAAAAATTGCCACATCCCTATCCCTGAAATTCCAGTTATTGTGGAAAACAAATACCGAGATAATTAACAGGACAATTGTGCAAGACTCTCAGATGACAAGAATACAATGTGCACAGTGTGTGTAGGATATAAACCGTACTGAGTGCCAGGCAGGTAATTACACAATGATGGGTAATTACATACGTGGAGATCTCCACTATATCCCTCTTCATTAAATAGTTCAGGCAGAAATGACTTTTGGACCAAGGCAATGTGGAAGAGGAGGAGGAAAAGAAGAGTGTCTATTGATGCCAGCTCCACTGTGTACACAAGGTCAGATGCCCACATCAGACTAAACACTTGTGCTTTATGTAAAGAAAGCCAACTGTCACAGAGGGATTCAACCAAGTGGTGTCTTGCCATAAGAGATTAGATTATTCTTGCAAACCCAGCTTTTGAAAAAAACAATAACTTATTATACAATAACAGTCATATTAAAAATAGACTGTTCTTTTCCAAACCGCACGTATCTTCAAAAAAATAGCCTATGAGGTCAAGGAGACCCAGTACACAAAAATAAACTATACAGCTTTAAAAAAAAAAAAAAAAAAAAAAAAAAAAAAAAAAAACACCTTCATTAAAGGATATCTTCACCTTAAAAAACAAAATAGAATAATAATAAAATGTACATCTTTTTGCAGGTAAAAAAAAAAAAAAAAAAGTGCATTTATGTATTTTATTAGCAGGATGTAAAAAATTACACCCACGATCAGCCGATAGTGGGTGCAATGCAAGGCTCCTACAGATTAATCAGTGTAGTTGCCTGCCAGTACCTCATATGGGCAGGCAGTTGCTGAATGGCAGGAAGAATCAATGAACTTCTAGAGTGCTCACCAGCACCCCGGAAGTTCATTGAGAACTACAAGCCATCAGCAGCAATGGCCAATGGAAATTGTAGTTTCCCCATTCACAGAATTCTGAGTGAATGGCGTGCCTGAGTGGGCAGAGCTCAGCACGGCCACATTTAAAAAAAAAAAAAAAAAAAAAAAAAAAAAAAAGGAAAAATGACAGCAGGTGCGGAAGAAGATCCAAGGGCCCACTGTCACAGTGGCGGCTCGGGGGAGGTATGGGGGCTGCTAATTTTGTAACGCGGATATGGGTGTACCATGTAACATGTTATGAAAGGTGAACTTATCCTTTTAATAGGCTATTAGTGCCCCCAACATAGCCTGCCTGAAAAACGTCCACTAATACTGTATAGCTCCGTCTTTTTGCCAGCAAAGGGCAGCTTGTGGACACTGCCCCCACAGGAGTGGGATCCACCCACCTTTGACCAGAACCCTGCACAAATGCGCAACACGTTCTCCTGTCACCTGCGGCTGAGACAGGGAAGAGATGCAAACTTAGTTCAGCTTTTGAGCTGTAGAATGCCACTACACATGACTCCCTTAGAACTCTGGAAGTTAAACAAGGTATGTGATGGCAGCTCCAGGTGCTACTATAACTTAGATCACTTTATTTGGCTGAAAGGTTTGCTTTAAAAATGGCAAGCTGTCTACAGGGTATGGACAAAGAGTAGATAATTTTAAGCCACTTTTCTTTAGAAGAAAAATTAAATTTACTGGATATTTTTGGCTAATATACATCCCCCACTAAAGCAAAAATGACACTCCAGTACAAATGTTTGTCACAAGTAGATGTGGGAAGTGCAGAGCTCAGATCATTACCAAATAGCTGACCTAAAAAAAGACTATGGAGGACCAGAAAACTCTGTTCATTTCTGTAGAGCTTTTATGAGATATCAGTCCTATACAGTGGTGCAGAAAAAACATTAAATAACTAAAATGCAAATATACATTAGTTTACATTGTAAAAGATGATTGCTGGGTCTCATTTATTTTCTAACAGCGATAGACCCTCGTAGGGGACTTTGACCAAGTTTGATTCTAAGACAGGCCTGCAAGCCAGGGCCTAAAACAACAGAGCCAGAGAACTACAGAGTCACAGAAATTGACATGGATGAAACAACAAATTACATTCAAATCTGAGGTAAATCTCTTCCAAGCATTCTTTATGTAATCTACCTACAACTTTATGACTTTTGTCAATGAACTGAGGGATATGGTAGGCAGACATGCACCATCAGGTTCTAATATACACTCACTGGCCACTTTATTAGGTACACCTTGCTAGTTCCGGGTTGGACCCCCTTTTGCCTTCAGAACTGCCTTATTCTTCTTGGAACAGATTCAACAAGGTGTTGGAAACGTGTTCCTCAGAGATTTTATTCCATATTGACATGAGTTACTGTTGCCGTACTATCATCTCGAACCTGTCTGCCCATTCTCCTCTGACATAAACAAGGCATTTTCGTCCACACAACTGCAGCTCACTGGATATTTTCTCTTTTTCGGACCATTCTCTGTAAACCCTAGAGATGGTTGTGCATGAAATTTCCAGTAGATCAGCAGTTTTTTAAATACTCATACCAGCCCATCTGGCACCAACAACCATGCCACATTCAAAGCCACTTAAATCATCTTCTTCCCCTTCTGATGCCTTTGAACTTCAGCAAGTTGTCTTCACCACACCTAGATATCTGAATGCACTGAGTTGCTGCCGAGTGATTGACTATTAGCAATTTGTTACCAAGCAATTAAACAGGTCTAACTAATAAAGTGGCCAGTGAATGTAAACTAGCCATACTGCACACAACCGACGCCTTGTAAATAGGCTGATGATGAGTGCATGGCAAATGGTGGTACCATGAAAGTCCACCAAGTAGTAAAAGAAAGTACACCAGGGTCACACACAGAAGTTTTACTGAAGTTCCATGGCAAACTGTCTAATGTTTCTAAGACATTAAGGTCTCTCTTTATCAAAGTGACAGAGTGAAAATGTGACCTATACAGTCATGGCCGAAATTGTTGGCACCTTGATATTTTTCCTGAAAATCAAGTATTTCACACAAAAAAGGTATTGCATTAACACATGTTTTGCTATACACATGTTTATTCCCTTTGTATGTATTGGAACAAATATAAAACAGAGGCAGAAAAGCAAATATGACATAATGTCACACAAAACCCCAAAAATGGGCTGGACAAAAGTATTGGCACCCTTAACTTAATATTTGGTTGCACACCCTTTGGAAAACATAACTGAAATCAGTCGCTTCCTATAACCATCAATAAGCTTCTGACACCTCTCACCCGGAATTTTGGACCACTCTTTTGCAAACAGCTCCAGGTCTCTTTGGAAGGACACCTTTTCCCAACAGCAATTTTAAGATCTCTCCACAGGTGTTCAATGGGATTTAGATCTGGGCTCATTGCTGGCCACTTCAGAACTCTCCAGCGCTTCTTTGCCATCCATTTCTGAGTGCTTTTTGACGTATGTTTGGGGTCATTGTCCTGCTGGAAGACCCAGGATCTTGGACGCAAACCCAGCTTTCTGACACTGGGCCCTACAGTGCGACCCAAAATCCTTTGGTAATCCTCAGATTTCATGATGCCTTGCACACAGTCAAGGCACCCCCAGAGGCAGCAAAACAACCCCAAAACATCATTGAACCTCCACCATATTTTACCGTAGGTACTGTGTTTTGTTCTTTGTAGGCCTCATTCCGTTTTCGGTAAACAGTAGAATGATGTGCTTTACCGAAAAGCTCTATCTTGGTCTCATCTGTCCACAAGACGTTTTCCCAGAAGGCTTTTGGCTTACTCAAGTACATTTTGGCAAACTGTAGTCTTGCTTTTTTATGTCTCTGTGTCAGCAGTGGGGTCCTCCTGGGTCTCCTGCCATAGCGTTTCATTTCATTTAAATGTCGACGGATAGTTCGCGCTGACACTGATGCTCCCTGAGCCTGCAGGACAGCTTGAATGTCTTTGGAACATGTTTGGGGCTGCTTATCCACCATCCGGACTATTCTGCGTTGCAATCTTTCATCAATTTTCCTCATCCGTCCACGACCAGGGAGATTAGCTACAGTGCCATGGGTTGCAAACTTCTTGATAATGTTGCGCACTGTGGACAAAGGCAAATCTAGTTCTCTGGAGATGGACTTGTAACCTTGAGATTGTTGATATTTTGCCACAATTTTGGTTCTCAGGTCCTCAGACAGTTCTCGTCTCCTCTTTCTGTTGTCCATGCTTAGTGTGGCACAGACAGACACACAATGCAAAGGTTAAGTGAACGTCTCTCCTTTTTATCTGCTCAGGTGTGATTTCTATATTGCCCACACCTGTTACTTGCCCCAGGTGAGTTTACAGGAGCATCACATGCTTGTAACATTCTTATTTATCCGCAGTTGTGAAAGGGTGCCAATACTTTTGTCCAGCCCATTTTTGGAGGTTTGTGTGACATTATGTCGAATTTGCTTTCTTTCCTCCCTTTTTTTGTTTTGTCCCAATACACACAAAGGGAATAAACATGTGTATAGCAAAACATGTGTTAATGCAATACGTTTCGTGAGAAATACATGATTTCCTGGAGAAATATCAAGGGTGCCAACAATTTCGGCCATGACTGTATATAGTCACACTGTCCTTTCACGCTGTCTGGCACCTTGATAAAGGGAGATTATTGAAAATTTGTATTTAAAATGGGACTTAAGAATGGTTCTGAAGGTTTTTTTACCTTCATGTATTCTATGCAAGAAGGTAAAAAAACCTTTAGTGTGCAGTTTCTCTTGCAGCCCCCCCATACTCACCTGAGCTCCCTCTTGATCCAGTGATATGCACAAGAGCAGCAGCTCTCCTGGGTCTCTCCCTCCTCATTGGTTAGCAAGGGGCAGGGCTGAACCGCAGCTCTGTGTCTTAAAGACACACAGAGGCAACTCGAGAGTAAGCATTCACAAGTGCTCCCCCATAGCAAGCGGCTTGCTATGGAGGCACTCAGCAGGGGGACCCAAGAAGAGAGCTGCTCTGTACAAAACCACTGCACAGAGCAGGTGAGTATGGCATGTTTGATATTTAATAAAAAAAAAAAAAAAAAAAAGCATACCTTTAGTATCACTTTAAGTGAAACATCTGGATGCAGCCTCAGTATGCTGGCTTTTATTACTTGACACTGACAGCTATTGTACCTGGTATTTCAATGCTAAAAGAGGCTGAGCAGCTATCTCTAGGATGTTTATTAATTATATTCAGAAGATCTTGACCTAAAACGTTTGTTATACCTGGAGGGTGGCCTTGATCTGCCATGATGATCAAAGTACAGTTGTCATCCAGAAGAAACCTGTACTAGGGGATATATGGGTTGCTATCAATGACATCCTTTGAATGTTAGATGCTCTGCTGACTTTACCTTCAATATGGAGATGAAATTAGTATGCAGATCAAGAAAGTCAGAGCTCCTAAACTGCTTGGGGTTAGCAACTCAAAATACTGAAGAAACTGAATAGCATGACAGCCATGGGAATAGTATTTTTTTCTTTTTTTGAATGAGGAATTAGCAATGGCAGCCTCCATACTTCCTCAGTACACACATCTTTTAAAGAGGTTCATTAATCCCCTTCCCCAAAACAACCACCATTTAGACACTGACCATATTCAACTATACTTTTACTGGTCTCTCAGGCATGCTCACTGAATAATGGAGAAGTGGACCAACAGGGCTTATGTCCATAGGTGGAGAAATTTGGCATACAGTGAAGGAGTACCCCAAGCACTTTGTAGTATCTGCTTTTGTGAAGAATTTTAGATGTAAGAGTTAAAGTGAAGATATAAAAATTCTGGATCGGAACCGAAAATTCAGGATGCATTTGGCTGAAAACCAAAATGGACATATATATTTATATATATATATATATATATATATAATAATATATAAATAACGTAAAATAACTTTTCTTTAAAGCATGTATATATGCATGTATATGCTGCACATAAAAAAAAAAAAAAAATCAGCTATCTTTTTAGCGGCTGATATATATATATATATATATATATAGGTGCATCGCAAATAAAATGGTTGTCTTTAAAAATCTCCAGTGTTATTATTCCAGCCTGCCCTCACTGCCTAGCAATCATGCACCCAGAGTACACATGCAGCCACTGCACAAAAAAGGTCTAATTTTCCATCCTTAGTCCACATCAGTGGCTCACTTCGTAGTAAAGACAGGGTTAGGATGAAAGCTCCAAGCCTGAACATGTCAAAGGTAAGTTAGCAACTATAGGACGCATACTTTCCTTAAAATAATTGTAAAGCTTGTAATTTTGCCATTTTTTCTTCCAATTAAAAAAAAAACCAAACGTGTTATACTTACCTGTTCATTGCAATGGTTTTGCATAGAGCAGCCCCAATCCTCCTCTGCTGAAGTCCCGCACTGGCACTCTGGGCCCTATGTCGCCGCCAAGTGCCCCCAGATGCAAGCCACTTGCTCTGGGGGCCCTCATGCATGCTCACTCCCAAGCCTCTCTCTGTGTGTCCATAGTACACAAAGAATTGGGCTCGGACCCGCCCCCTGCTCCTCGCCACTGGCTCTTACTGACAGCAGCGGGAGCTAATGGCTCTTGTTGCTGTATCTGAATCAATAAGAAATGGGAGAGTCTCAGCTCCTGTGCACATCGCTGGATCAAGATTTGGCTCAGGTAAATATTTAGGGGAGAGGGAGCTGCATGCAGAAGGTTTTTACCTTACTGAATAGAACACAAGGTAAAAAACCTTCTGCTTTTACAATAATTTTAAATGATTTCCATTGCAAAAGTTGGTTTTCTCACATTAGACTAAGACAATCTATTGATCCAGACGAACAGAAACCTAACATAATTGGTATTCTGAATTAAAATGTTCACATATAACTAAAAACACACATAAAAGATATAAAAACAATAGAGCAACAAATAAAATATCTGTGAAATTTATACAAGAATTGGACAATTGAAGACACTCACCTTTCTTAAACTCTTCAAGGACAGCATCCAATTTGGTGTCGCTAAACACAAAGTGAACAGGGTGACTGTAGAAACGAGTAATGGTGTTCAAAGTGGTGCAGTCATCTGGGTCTACGAAGGCCAAATCTTTCACATACAGAATGTCCACAATATTGGACCGTTCATTTTCATATACAGGTATACGGGTGTACCCACTCTCCATAATACTGGACATGGTGTTAAAGTCTAACACAGCATCACTGGGGAGCATAAAGCAGTCCTCCACCTTGGTCATCACATCCTCCACGGTCTTTGTGCGCAGCTCCAGAGCTCCCTGAATAATATTCATCTCTTCACGGACCAGACCACTATATGGCTCTGTAACCTGCAACAAGAAGTGCATACATTCAATACACAACAAATGTAGAGGATAATGCAACAGACAGCCTATAAGGCCTACCATGGGAAGGAGCTGCTTTTCATTTCACAACAGTGTAGAGTGCTTATCAATTAGTTTGTTACAAAACTTCACAGTGACCTGGCACAATAATTATCAGTGCAAAGAATGCATAATACACGATGGTACAATATCAGACACCCTCTGATCTTATCAGACAGGGAATGGAGCCAGAGATGAAGAATAGAATAAATAGTTTAGTTCCATGGAAGGGAATATACCAACTAGAGCTGCGAAAGGAACGTTCACTCTAATGTGTATACTGCATTGCTTACTTTAAAGAAAGCTTGTCACAAGAGAAATATCGGGGACTGCCATTGCTGACCTACTCCTGAAAATACTGTTTGCCTGGCTGTTTCCAGCTCTAAATTAAGTGACCAGTATAAGCATGCAGCAAGTCAAGACACCATTCCTTATCTGCATACTCATTCCAGGTCAGCAATTCAGAAACCAGTCGAGCTTATCAGCATCACAGCCGCATTGTTGTTTCGCAAGAGGAACGTTCAGCAAACATAGCCTACCTGATTACTCTCAGTACAAATTTATTTAAAGAAACATGGAGGCTGCTGAGCTCTCCTACTGAGAGTGCAGGCCACCTGGCTGTTATTCTGACCCTCTGGCTTCAATACTTTCAGTTACTTACCCAGAACAAGCATGCAGCAATAATGTCAGACCTTGGTACTTTGTAAATGGGCATGTGACACACACTAGGCAGACAGACTGGCAGTTGTGGTACCTTTCAGACACTATATGAGTGCTCTGCAAAAAGTTGACACCTGTCCATACACAGAGCTGTGGCTGCCCGTGACTGTGGCCCCCCCCAACACAGAGGGCCGCCCGTGACTGTGGCCCCCCCAACACAGAGGGCCTGTTGCGACTGTGGCCCCCCCAACCAGAGGGCCGCCCGTGACTGTGGCCCCCCCCAACACAGAGGGCCGCCCGTGACTGTGGCCCCCCCCAACACAGACACTGTGGCCCCCCCCAACACAGAGGGCCGCCCGTGACTGTGGCCCCCCCCAACACAGAGGGCCGCCCGTGACTGTGGCCCCCCCCAACACAGAGGGCCGCCCGTGACTGTGGCCCCCCCCAACACAGAGGGCCGCCCGTGACTGTGGCCCCCCCCAACACAGAGGGCCGCCCGTGACTGTGGCCCCCCCCAACACAGAGGGCCGCCCGTGACTGTGGCCCCCCCCAACACAGAGGGGCCGCCCGTGACTGTGGAGGGCCCCCCAACACAGAGGGCCGCCCGTGACTGTGGCCTAACCACTGTGGCCTAAAAAAAAAAAACCCACAATGACTATGGCCCAACCATAGCCATTCATTTCCATGGCACCAAAATGCGCTGTGGTTCTCCCACGATAAATCGAAGCTGAAATTGCAGAAAACTACATCGCGCAAAGCTTGTTGCTCAAAAAGGAACAGGAGTTTCTTTTGGGCAACAAGCTTTGACCAATGTGGCTTGCTGCGCCAATTGTGGCAGAACCACACTGCATTTTGGTGTCATTGAAAATGAATGGCACCAAAACAGGCGTGGTGTGATTTTCATTTGTGCAGAGCGTTTTGGGATCGTGGGATAGGGGGGGAGCTGCATACTTGAAGTGTTACTAAACCCAGGACCCTGCATTCAATAATCTGGTCTCCCACAGTACAGACAACATGGAAATCCAATTATTTTAGTAAAGATAAACTGCTAAATACCTTTTCTCATCAGCAGTTATAGTCTTCTGACTTCTATCAGTGTTCAGCAGAGTACTGGTTAAAGCTTATAGGAGGAGTTTTCTCTAGGAGGATGCAGAAACCCCTAACCTCTGCCTAGGCAGTTATGATTGGCCCTGTGCTGATCATATGCCCTCTCCCAAGACAAAAAAAAAAAAAAAAAAAAACTATCTAGCAATACACACCAAATTCAGCATTTGCACTGTCTCCACATCATATGTCTTATCAGGTGATAAGAGGGGGACACTGGAAGAAGGGGAAAATCAACGAATCACCGGATCAAATAGCCTTTTTACACAACCTCTGTCTGTCTGACCAGTGCTGATCACATGCACCCCCCCCCCTTAAAAAAAAAAAAAAAAAAACACTCTAGCAATACACACCAAACTGAGCATGTGCAAAATGCATACAGTTCGGTCTGTCTTATCAGGAGATAAGAGGTGGGGGAACAAAGAAGGATCAAACGGTCTCTTTCACAATGCAGAGGATTAACCCCTTAGGTTCCACAGTGAGTATAACAAGCATGCTTTACTGCATATACAGACTGATTTTACGGTTGTGGCTTTACTTTAAGGTTTTTTTACCTTCATGCACAGAAGGCCTTCAGCCTTTAGAACCACTTGAAACACAATTCTAACTGGTTTCAACAGACTTAACAAGTTTTGGTAAAGCTGAAGCTTACTGAAGCCAGCTGCATGTTATTAGTGGTAGTCTAGCAATTCGAGCCGAATTCCAGGTATAGATTTTTTTTTTTCGTAGTTACTTTATATGTATTCCATACTGGCTGATACCCGTGGAAGCAGAGAATCACTGTGACTGTAGTAGCTGGTGCCATCTTTGTTGTCTTTCGGATCCATACTAGCCACCATTCACAGAACTGCATTTTGTCAATGAACGCAAAGCATTCTCTGCTGGAGCAGGTTGTGACATAATGATCTCCATGTTGTTCAATCCAAGAACGCACGGTATATATTGAGAAACATACAAGGCATTCTTTAAATGGGATCTGGAAAACAGTGAGGAACGCTTCAGAAGCGGCAGCTACTACATTGATCCTACACCTCCTTGGCAATCTCACTGGTATGAAATTTGCAATAGTCAAATGGTTCAAAGCTGGACCAAACTAACTCCACAGAAATATCCATACTTCAACTTTAAAAAGAGAAAACGTGAGCTAAAGGGAGCTTTAGAGTAACAAAGCTGCTCAAACCTTGATGAAAAGTTTTGGAAATGCTTTGTAAAAGCTTGTTGAACACACTGTTCATATTATTTTTATTATACAGGATGTATATAGCGTCAGTTTGTGCAACAAACATTATTACAAAATAGAGGGAGATGGTACAGTTACAACACATTTCAATACAGGAGGCTCCTGGCCATGAGAACTCACAATCTAAATCACATATACAAGCTGATGCCTGTATAAACACTGCTGAAAAAAAATTAAAGGAACACTTTTTAATCAGAGTATAGCATCAAGCCAATTAAACTCCTGGGATATTGATCTGGTCAGTTAAGTAGCAGAGGGGGTTGTTAATCAGTTTCAGCTGCTTTGGTGTTAATGAAATTAACAACAGGTGCGCTAGATGGGCAACAATGAGACGACCCCCAAAACAGGAATGGTTTTACAGGTGGAGGCCACTGACATTTTTTCCCTACTCGTCTTTTCTGACTGTTTTTCACTAGTTTTGCATTTGGCTAGGGTCAGTGTCACTACTGGTAGCATGTGGGGATACCTGGACCCTACAGAGGTTGCACAGGCAGTTCAAACTCCTCCAGGATGGTACATCAATACATGCCATTCCTAGAAGGTTTGCAGTGTCTCCCAGTCTCGGGAGCATGGAGGAGACAGGCAGTTAGTCTAGGAGAGCTGGACAGGGCAGTAGAAGGTCCTTAACCAATCAGCAGGACAGTATCTGCTTCTTTGTGCAAGGAGGAACAGGATGAGCCTGCAGAGCCCTACAAAATGACCTCCAGCAGGCCACTGGTGTCAATGTTTCTGACCAAACAATCATAAACAGACTTCATGAGACTGGCCTGAGGGCCCAACGTCCTCCAGTGGGCCCTATGTGCTCTAGTGGGCCCTGTGCTCACTGCCCGGTACTATAGAGCTCAATTGGTATTTGCCATTTAAAACCAGAGTTGTCAGGACCATTTTGAGTGGCTGCAATGAAATTTCAGCAAAATGGACTTGCCTGCTGCATCATTTTTTTTCTCACTTTTCGGGGTGTCTTTGAATTCAGTCCTCTGTAGGTTGATCATTTTCATTTCCATCAAATGATGAGGCATTCTTATGTTCCTAACACATTACCCAGTCCATATCAGTATAGATATCTAGCATATCTTTCCCCATTGAGATCTGATGTGTTTTCAGTGTTCCTTTGATTTTTTTGAGTAGTGTATATAATGCCCTTCTGAATTGCAAACCACGGGGGGGGGGGGTTTAACAAAAATGGAGCAGACAGAATTTGGAGCAGCTGTGCACGGCAACCAATCAGCTTCTATCTCCAGTTAAACTTTGAACATGAAAGCTAGAGTCCGATTGGTTGCTGAGCAACAGCTATGCCAGTGGAACTAAACCCATAAATTTGAAGGATAAGTTCACCTTTGGGAACAGGTTACATGCTACACCCATTTTTAGGGTGGAACATGTAACATGTTTCCATAGCCATAGAAACCCTGTACTGTCTGTCAAATTTGAAAACAGCACAGCCATGCGGGGATCTGTCCACACGGCCTCATCATTCATTTACGGACTTCCATGAATGAATGAACTGCAAGTCCTGGCAGCCTTAGCGGCTGTGAGCTTGTAGTTTTCAATGAACTACCACAACGCTGTGTAGTCTTGTGGTAGTTCATTGCAGCTTCCGGTCAGTATGTCTGCTTGCTCATACATCCTGTACAGCAAGCAGATATTCTGACAGGTCTGCAGGAGACCTGCATGGCATCAGTGATCTACTGTTCAGTGGTGCAATGCTTTCCAGGCTCCTGTGGATAAAAACAACAAATGCACATTTTTGTTACCTGCAAAAAAAATGTGCATTTATTATTTTTGTCTAAAAGGTGAACTTATGCTTTAACAGATTAAAAAAGCAATTACAACTGTCACATTTGCTTGTGTTCTCAACCAAACCATCAATAGTCTGGTGTCGTAACTGATCACATGTGCAGCACAATGGCAGTTGAAGATCAAAAAGAGGCCAAGACCAAGCCGCTGATCCGTGTATTCGTCCAGCAGATGAGTCCTGCTATCAGAATACAACTGCACAGCAGGAAAGGTTCCTCCATCCACCTTGCGTTTGTGGCTGGGGGAATCTTTTTTTTTTTTGATTACCCCTCCAGCTGATCAAAAAAAAAGTGATCCATGTATGACCAGCCCTAGTAAATCCCCGATTGTACTTCTGAGCCTGTCTCTGACTGCTGCAAACCTGTTGCCTACAGATCATCACCCGAAATAAATGTATAACCTCTAAAGAGCCCAGTAAACATGTTCGCCTGGGGGGGCATTATTCACACACCTTGAGCATCTCCAGGAGCTTCTCCCGGTTGTAGACGGTACCGATTTCCTGCCCCAGAATGCAGTCCAGCAGGCGACTGACCGGATAGGCCACGGGGAAGGTGACTAGCATGAAGAAACGAGTCAGCCACAAAGTGTTGGCCCCTACGGCCAGGCCATGGCGGGAGCACAGAGCTTGCGGCACAATCTCTCCAAGCACCACGATGCCCATGGTGGAGGCGGCCACGGCGGCGAGCCCGGATCCAATCAGCTCGTCCAGCAGGGTGGTGAGCGTGGTGTTGACCAGCACGTTGCCTAGCAGCAGGGAGCAGAGCAGGTAGTTACCCTTGCGGCGGACCGGTTCGATCTTGGCGGCATACCTCCTCTCCCGGTCCGAGCCGCAGCGCTGCACCACCCGCAGCTCCATGGGGTCCAGGGCCATCAATCCCAGGTTAAGGCCACTGAAGATCCCTGACAGGATGAGCAGCACAGCAATGACAATGGCCTGCAGCCAGATGGGCATGAGTGGCTTGTGTTCCTCCAGCACCCGCAGGCGTCCGTCTGGGCCCGGGTGAAGGATCCAGGGCTGCCCAGGGCCCCGACGTGTGCATAGAACATAGACCCTGGAGCTCTGGCTCTTCCTCAGGGGCAGGACTTTGACTTCTAGGAGGCCGGCCATTCCCCCTGCCTCCTCACTGACGTTCAGCCCCGCAGAGTCCCTCACCAGGTCCCCCGTGTCCTTCAGGCAGCTGCTATTGTCCTGGCCGTCCTCCGTGAAGGCCAGCAGGCTTCCGCTGTCGGGCCGCAGGTTGAGGCCATAGAAGCGGAGCTGTAGCCGGCTGCCCTCCGTCACCTCCAGCTCCCCGCTCTGTGACAGCTCGGCGTGCCGGTCGCTGCCCTCCAGGCGGAAGCCGAGGATGAGCGGAAGCTCCTGGGGCTGAGCCCACTCGGTCTGACAGGAACACAGCGCCGACAGAACCAACAGCGTCAACAAGCCGAGCCAACGGACACCCGGGCCGGCCATAGCGTGCCCAACTCTCCGAGGCCACAGCCGGGTTTGCGACGCTACCGGCCACGCCCCGCCTTTGGACAAACCACGCCTGTGTTACTTTGCCACGCCCCCTCTCGAGAAACCTGTTTCGAAACCGCTGCAAACCTTTATTTACATAACCACGCCTGGAGCATGACTCCGCCCCTCTAGGCTGGAATTCCGCCCATCACCTTGGACACGAGTCTTTCCTCCATTGACAGATCACGCCTTTTTAAATGACAGATCACGCCCACCCGCCGCCCGCTCCCGCCCGAGCTCTGCAATCACAGTACGGAGGAGGAGGGGCCGTCTGCTGATCTAAAGATATCACAGGATTGTCAGGTCACCAGTGCCATCCGCCTGCCTGTATCTGCTGAAGGGCTCCGATCACGGGGGGTGGGGGGAACTTGTCATACAAATGACAGGAGTGCGGAGAGGGCAACACGCTGCCGCTTCTTATGTACGCTTGGCTTTCATTGGGGTGAAACTTATCTGTCTGAGAGCCAAGTCTGTATTCTATACATATTCAAGGACAGAAAAAAAAATTCAATGAATGAATGAATCTTTTATGAAGTTTTACTTGAATCAGTTTTGGAAATTATATGATTGGGAGCAAAAGACGAAGAGTTTCAGTAAAACTAAGAAAAGTCCCCCCATACATAGGATTGTCCCCACCCATATGGAAGAAAAATATATTGAAAATATATTTAAAAAATTTTCTTCCCAAATATATTGCCATATATTTAAAATGCTACAATTTTGGCCATATTCAATATTTTTTCAATATATATATATATATATATATCATGTTGAAATGCATTTTTATTACAATATATATAGAAAAATATTTTTAAAAATACATTTCAAATATACTGTATGTCTTTAAACATACAAATCTACATTTTTGGAATGCATTTACAAATATATGTCAAAATGACTTTTATATGTTAAAAAAAATCTGAAGAATATATTTAAAAAAATATATTTTTAAATATATTTTTTAAAATATATTCTTCATTTTTTTAACATATAAAAAAGTAAATTTGACATATATTTTACATATATTTGTAAATGAATTCCAAAAATGTAGATTTGTATTTTCAAAGACATACAGTATATTTGAAATGTATTTTTAGAAATATTTTTCATATATTTTGTAATAACGCATTTCAACATGCAGTATATATATATATATTTATTGAAATATATTGAATATGGCCAAAATGGTAGCATTTCAAATATATGGCAATATATTTGGGAAGAATATTTTAAAAAATATATTTCAAATATATATATTTTTCCATGTGGGCATCAGAATCCCCCTTTACATCAGAGCACATATCAGAGCCCTTCCTTGCACAGGAGTACCCATCAGAATCAGAACCCATCTCACATCAGGGCCCCCATTAGAGCCCCCCCCCCCGTGGATGGACACACATGCACACACATGTCAGGAATAGGAGTCCCACTTTAAATTAGAATCCCCCTTACATCAAAGTCCATATCAAAGCCCCCTATTACATCAGGGACCCTATTAGAGTCCGCCCCTACATTACAGACAGGCGTAGTAGTCCCCCCTTACATTAGCGTCCCCCTTACATCAGGGTCTGTATCGGAGGCCCCCTTACAATCTGCTGCTTACATAGGAATCCCCATCAGAGCCCCCTTTACATCAGAGCACATATCAGAGCCCTTCCTTGCATAGGAGTATCCATCAGAAACTCCTCTTACATCAGGACCCCCGTTGGAGCCCCCCCCCATATCAGAGAAAACAATAGGAGTCCCATTTCCCTTAGATCAAAGTCCCTATCAGAGCCCCCCTTACATCAGGGACCCTGTTAGAGTCTGCCTCTACATCACAGTCAGTCATAGGAGTTCCCCCCTTTCATCAGGTTCCTCATCAGAGTCTCCCTTAGATCAAAGTCCCCATCAGAGCCCCCCTTAAATCAGAGTCCCCTTCACATTAGGGTCCACATTAGTGACCCCTTGCATCTAAGTATACTGTAGGAGTTCTTCCCTACATCAGAATATGCTGCTTACATAGGAATCCCCATCAGAATCCCCCTTTACATCAGAGCATATATCAGAGCCCTTCCTTGCATAGTAGTACCAATCAGAACCTCCTCTTACATCAGGACCACCGTTACAGCCTCCCCCACATCAGAGCAAGGGATAGGCGTCCTATTAAAATCAGAATCTCCCTTACATCAAGTCCTTATCAGAGCCCTCCTTACATCAGGGACCCTATTAGAGCATGCCTCTACATCACAATCAGTAATAGGAGTCCCCCCTTTCATTAGAGTCCCCCTTACAACAGGATCCTCATCGAAGTCTCCCTTAGATCAAAGCCCCCCTTACATCAGCATCCCCTTCGCATCAGGGTCCACATTAGCTCCCCCTTGCATCTAAGTATACTGTAGGAGTTCTTCCCTACATCAGATTCTGCTGCTTAGATAGGAATCCCCATCAGAGTCCCCCTTTACATCAGGATCCCCATCAGAGTCCCCCCTTATTTCAGGGTTTCTATCAGAATCGAACTTATATCAGAGTCCCCATCAGAGTCCGTCTTACATCAGGGACCCCAGCAGAACCCCCTTACATCAGAGTAACCATCAGCAGAACTTCAGTAAAACTAAGAAAAGTCCCCCCAAACATAGGATTGTCCCCATCAGAATCCCCTTTTACATCAGAGCCCCTATAAGAGCCCTCTTATATAGGAGTACCCATCAGAACCCCCTCTTACATCAGGGTCCCCTCGGACACCGACCAACAAGAACCCTCCCCCCCCTTTGCCCCTCTCGTAGAGAAAGCCTGACATTTACCAACCCCCCTGGCGATAGAAAGACACTCATCTTCATCTCCAAACATCCCCAGGAATGAGAGTCAAGCTCTACATACACCATTAAGCAGCCCGCAGCCTCTCTCGGATCCCTCTTGGTTCCCATGGAGCACATGTCCCTTCTTTCATCCCTTCTTCTGGGGGGAGGTACTGCCCACCTGAAAAATGCCACCGTAGGCAAGTGCCTTTTTTGCCTTGTGGTAAATACGCCCCTGATCAGAGTATTGTTTACATACTGTTCTCTCCCCTCATTGGTAATGCTTGGCGATCACCGGGTGCCAGCGAGTAATCACCTTCTGGGACCTGGTGATTGACAGCCGAGGCCGCGAATAGCTGGAAATGCAGAATCACGTACATATACGTGATTTTGCGCACCCCTGCCACCCTGTAGCAGTATATCTGCTATAGGACGGTGGGAAAGCAGTTAAAGCCAGAAGGTTGAAATGTTAAATGAAAATAGTTTTGATTAGTTTTTTCTACACAATTAAACAATTAAGTGAACATTTTCCAAGAGTGGTGATTTCACACTTTTTGCCAGGGGTTATAGTAGTGTGACAAAGGTATTTTTTACCTGGGCAGTTAGTTATTATTGCTGGCATTACAGGTTGTTAGTTCAGGTAATGTACAGATAATTAAGTAGTGTTTATGTGTTGTGTTCTGCAAAATCAATGCATATTGCCTTTGGCACACATTTTTTGACCACGCCTTGCTTATTGCCTTTTTGTCAAGCATGGCCTCTTGCCCATACACCCTCATTGCCCTCGCTAATAAATTTAGAGCATAATTACAGAGAAGAGAGGCAGAGAATAGCACACCCAGTAATCCCATTAATAAAAGTATAAAATATAGCTGTTAGAAGAATAAACCTGCTCTTCCTGTATGTATTTCAATATACAATAATTATTACAGACACATGGCATCCATCATCTCCATCCTTGCACCATATAGTCATGGCCAAAAATATTGGCACCCCTGCATTTCTGTCAGATAATGCACCACTTCGACCCAGAAAGTTGTTGCAATTACAAATGTTTAGGCATTCTCATGTTTATTTCTTTTGTTTGTATTGGTATGACACAAAAAGGTGGAGAAACAAAAAGCCAAATCTGACACATTCAACACAAAACCCCAAAAATAGACTGGACAAAATTATTGGCACCTTCTTAAAATTGTAAGAAATAATTGCATTCCAAGTTTCTGTTGCTCCTGTAATTTGTAATTAAACTCACCTGTATCAATTACCAGATCTTAATGTTCTTGTATAATCGCACCATTACGGACTGCAGCCATTTTGATGGATGGAAACTTTTGAATTGACATGCCAATGTTCATCCTGCTAATTGTAAGTGCAATACGTTAAATAAATTAGTACAGCTTTTACATATTGCACTATGAGTAGTTACTTTTTCCCTCTTGGGTATTTATTGTGTGGAGAGTTATTTGCCATCTAAAAGCTATATGATTCGGAGGATATCCTGTGTATTGTCTGGATTTTCTGGGGGACCCATCTGCTAGTCCATGATACATCAGTTGAGCCTGATAACTGCGCTGTTTGACCAGTCCTTCAGATGGTCAAATTTCTCGGAAAAGGCTGTGTGATCGGGTGGAAGGTGAAGGACTTTCTCTATCCTTTTGATTTACGGCTTTATTTAAAGCACCTGCACTTTCAGATTAAGTGGACTTTTTTCATATGTTAATTTGTGTTATCTACATCTTACTTCTTACCTTTCATGGGTGGCAGGTTACAAATTATAGTTATATGTATCATCAATTAAGCGCTACACTGACAGTTTTATATTTAATTATTTGCCTATTGATTGTGTTAGCTGCTCCTTTTCTGGTTTGTAGCACCTAAGCGCAGGTCTTTTATACAATACTTAATGTTCTTGTGTCCACTGTGTGCAACATTGTCAAGAAGCTTACAGCCCAGGGCACTGTAGCTAATCTCCCAGGACATGGACAAAAGAGAAAACCTTGATCAAAGATTGCAACGACGGATTGTTCGAATGGTGGCTAAAGAAACTCAATCAACTTCCAGACAAATTCAAACTGCCCTTCACACACAGGGTACAACTGTGGCAGCTTGCAGGGCCTTCTTTAATATTGCTTGGACCCTGGGCAAACATTTTCTTGGCCCCCCCCTGCAATTTTGCTCTCCACCTGCTCTGAGAGATACAATAAATAGCAGCTAGACTCAAAATCAGTT